ATATATATATAAAATTATGCCTTTGAATTGTATCCTTCCTGACGGCTTTCTGCTATTTCTATTTATTATTCATTAAAAAAAAATTATGCCTCCCACCTCCTCTACAAGCTGACTCTGAGTGGAAAACAAATAATAGGGCAACAGTGAAGCTCTCAAAAATGCTGGAAATAAATTAAAAAGCTGATTAAAAGAAGACACTCACTTGGAATGAATAACAAAGGAGCTCTGCAAAACTACCTAGCCTCTGAATCAACTGAATCAACAAGGTCCCTCAGAGATCATTCATTTTGTACACATACAAAAATGACTTACTTTTGTTTTTATGAGATTTGTATTGAACCAAGTCTTGAAGCAAATCAACCGTCATAGCCAGAGGGCACCGAGCAGATATTTCTTTAATAGCATTGATCCTAAAAAGTTGGGGAAAAAAGTTTTGAATTATATATATATATGTATGTGTGTGTGTGTGTGTGTGTGTGTATTTGTTTTCGTAGATTTTCACAGGTACAGGTATGCAGATCTTGGCGTATTCGGGTCTTGGGACCTCGTCGAAACGTCGCCAAGATACTCTCAATCTTACATGGGAAAAGACCCGAATACGCCAAGACCTACTGCGACAAACTATTTTTGTGTTAAATTTAGATTTTGCCGACAAAGAATTAAAGGGAGACTAGTATAGCTATTTCGAGCTATTTAGCTCTCATCAGCTAGCCATACCCTTCTGAGATTCGAACCCGGGCCGCTTGCAGGAGAGAAAGGCGAAAGCAGTAGCAGATTGCTCCATCCCATATTTGGGTAGACCAGGTGCTGTGTTAGACCGGTTTTACCGGAAAACACTTAATCTCTGACAGCTGACAAAAGCGAGGAGAACCCATGGCCTAGAGGTTAATACAGCTGCCTAATGTGCAAGCGGCCCGGGTTCAAATCTCAGAAGGGTATGGCTAGCTGATGAGAGCTAAATCGCTTGAAATAGCTATACTAGTCTCCCTTTAATTCTTTGTCGGCAAAATCTATCTCTATATATATTGTTTATATTGTTTGAATGTATATCAGAGTTGTGAAGTCCTTTAATTTGATATCCGAGAAATGTTCAGGAGTACAAACACAGGACCTGTTAGCAGCTTCATGTTCCTAGAAAAAATGAAATTGTTTGAAGTGTTGCACACAAGGGCTAAATTTGTTCTTTTACACACTTCAGAGGACCTGGCACTACACAACTTTGAAATAATTCACAATGCGCACTCTGCAGTAACTGAAATTAAATTCAGGGCCAAAGCCATAAAATTCTTAAAGTTGGATTCTGCCTAAGCTATACGGAAATCTACTTTTTGTGCCTTACAAACAGTCCTGAGTTAATGACAGCTTTGTTTAGCAACAGTTCAAAGTTAGGATGGCCCTGGAAAAATAGCATCAGCCACATGGGGACTGTGATCTGCAATTTGTTTTTGCCATTTTCCAGCAAAAAAAAAATGTCCCGTTTTTGCTGATTTGGGCTTAGGACCACGATTCATTTAACAACTGTGTGAGTTGCTTAATGACCATTGATTCACTTAACAGCTATCATAAAAAAAGTTGGAAAATTGAGTCCCGTCACATGGTGACTCAACTCAACTCAACCCAACCACAATAACTTGTGACCAAAACTCTGAGCTCCATTGGATAAGTTGAGGACTGCCTGTACTCAATTTTGCAAAACCACATTATCTCCTCCTTAGATGTTGCATCAAAGTTTTTACATGCTGGTCCCAGGCTCTAAATGCTTACCCAACAGTCATGACTTCCCCAGAGTTTTTGTCTGTGACAAAGTTGTTGGCTATTGTCATGAGGACTGGCTGCATAGTCTGTTGAAAAGAAGAAGAAAAAATAGGTTGAAGAATTGGTACGAGTAATTTTGTTCCTTCTTTAGTAAACAAAGAATGGAATTTAATTACATCAAGGTGTGCTGGCATAACACACTCTTAAGTTACATGGAACATTTCAATCTGGGGGTTTTAAATTAACAGAAACAACTAGGCAAAGGATTGGCCCAAAGTCATCCAGTTGGCATTCATGCCTAAGGCGGGACTAGAACTCACAGTCTCCTAGAGATTGGCCCAAAGTCATCCAGCTGGCTTTCATGCCTAAGGTGGGATTAGAACTCACCGTCTCCTGGTTTCTCAGCCATCACTTTAATCACTATACCAAACTGGCTCTCTAACTACACTGCGGAGCCAACATGCATGGGTTCTCCTTCCCACCCTATCCAACACAACACAAAAAGTTTAGCCAGCATGATCAATATGTACGACATACGACCACAATTGAGCCCAAAATTTCTGTTGCTAAGTGAGACATTTGTTAAGTGAGTTTTGCCTCATTTTCCGAACTTTTGTTGCCAGAGTTGGCAAGAGAATTAACTGCAGTTGCTAAGTTAGTGACACGGTTGTTAAGTGAATCCGTCTTCCCCACTGACTTTGCTTGTCAGAAGGCCGCAAAAGGGGGATCACACAAACCCAGGGCACTGCAACTCTCATAAATATGAGTCAGTTGTCAGGTGTCTGAATTTTGATCTCGTGATCGTGGGGATGCTGCGATGGCTGTGTGGAAATCGGTCATGTCGCTTCTTTCAGTGCCGTTGTAACTTTGAACTGTCACTAAATCAGTGTTTCTCAACCTTGACAATTTTAAGGCATGTGGACTTCAACTCCCAGAATGGCTGGGAGAATTCTGGGAATTGAAGTCCACATGCCTTAAAATTGTCAAGGTTGAGAAACACTGCACTAAATGAACTAGTGTTAAGTCGAGAAATTCCTGTATCAGCACAGGCGAACACTTATTTCATTAAGCCACACCATCTACCTCTAAAGGAGAAATCCCATTTTTTATTATTATTATAAATTTTATTGGTTTTAATAGGGTTAGGGATTAAATGGGGTCGGGATTAGAATTGAGGTTTGGGTTAAGGTTGGGGTTACGGTTGGGGATTTCCCAGGTAACATTTTCAATATTTAGCAAACAACATATTGTCTGGGTACATGTATTTAACTAACAATAACAGATATAGCTAATTATCATAAACAGTATTAATCACTCAGTAGCTTTCTTCTTACTAATATATATTCAAAATTACACGTCACATTCCTTTCTCTCTGACTCGTTTTTCTAGCCATTGGTAAAAGCTATCCCATGTTCTAAAATAGACTGAGTCTTCTTTCTATTTAATATCTAAAGTCAATCTATCCATTTCAGAGCCCTCTAGAATTTTCTTAATTAGTACTTCTTCAGTTGGTAAGTTTTCATTTTTCCAATATTGGGCAAATACAATTCTTGCTGCTGTTAATACATGTAGTATTAGATATCTGCAATCTTTCTCATACTTGGCTCCTATTATTCCTAACGAAAACAATTCTGGTTTGAAGTCTATTTGTTTTTTAGTCATCTTCTCCAACCATAAATGTATTTTAGCCCAATATCTTTTTGCTTTAGGGCAGTGTTTCTCAACCTTGACAATTTTAAGGCATGTGGACTTCAACTCCCAGAATTCCACAGCCAGCATTGCTGGCTGTGGAATTCTGGGAGTTGAAGTCCACATGCCTTAAAATTGTCAAGGTTGAGAAACACTGCTTTAGGGCATGTCCACCGGATGTGGTCATAAGAACCTGGCCTTTGTTTGCATTTCCAACAATTGTTTGAAGTATTTTTAAACATTTTCGCTAGCCTCACTGGTGTCATGTGCCATCTGTAAAACATTTTGTATAAGTTTTCTTTATATGGCACTGCTTTAGTTAATTTAATATTTCTTTCCCATAATTTTTGCCACTCTTCTGATTCTATAGTATGTTCAAAATCCCATTTTTATCCTTTGG